ATGACGTTCCTCATGATTGAATCTAGCTCCCATAAATCTATATGACGATCTATATGATCCGATGATGTTTTCCATGGATCCACACTTGTTTTGTAATGTACTCCGAGATGGTGATATGGTGATCCAGTACTGTCCCAATAACACTCAAACCACCGAACGGCCGCCTGTTCAGAACCCCTATACTGGAACGTGATTTGATCCTCCCTGAAGTCCAAACTGAATCCTTTTGAACCTCCTCCCTGAAACTTCAGGTGTGTGTTGACTTTCCAATTACTTTTATAATATATATATATATACACTTTGCTTTTAACCCCTGCGAAAATCCCAGTGTCAAACGATTTTGCGATTGACGAGAAAAGCGCCCTGAGAGCACAGCGGGAAAAACATGACGACGAAACGAAGGATCCTTCGGGTCCGATGCCTTTCGACCTTCGTTTTCCACCCCAAAAAGCAGCGTCTACAGTCCATCTGGGGGCCCTGGGAAGCCCTTAGCTGTGTACCAGGCAATCTATAGCAACTCATAGCAATCCCAAGGTCTACCCGGCCCAGAAGTTAAGGCCTCGGTGTCCGAAAAAAGGATATGAAGATGGCTTAGCATCGTGGTTCAGACTGGAGCCAGGCTCTAACGACCACAGTTTGCCGCATGTCAAAGGCGCTTGAGGGGACGGGAACTGATCGAGCAATCCACAACTGCTCTTGATGCCTAACCCAGACATTCCATGGCTTGCATATTGACCTACGTTGGGGCGGCTGAAAAGGGTCTAAAATACGCGGAGTCTCAGGTGTTTTTTTGCTACTTCCAAGTATTTCTAATTCCCTCGTCTTGCAAAGTGTTTGCTATATATTTGCTTTGTGACGTTCTGTCATTTCTTCGGATGCACCAGTTCGTGCGAACGTCATATGCCGAGGTCAGTCATACTGAGGTCCACCGACGGAGGCCGCCAAGTACATGCAGGCAGACAAATAACCTCGACATCTCCAGTTGGGGACACAGCAATGTACTATAGATGAATAACTCCCCACAGTCATGGACATGAATAGCTCGTCTTTGGGACAATGACCAGGGTATGAGCATGGCGGCATGGCTATATATGGCTATGACCGAAACTGTTTTGTCCTGCTCAGAACATTTTTCAAAGAGAACCCTACTTTTAACAAACATGGGGCGATTGCCTCCATCCTAGAAGCGATGGCCTCCAACCTTATAGCAAGAATTTACATGAGTGGATCAGGATCTGTCGATTTGTCGTACCCAATTTCTTCAGTCTATGTTTGCTCTCTTCTCTCTCTTTTACACATAGCGTCCATCTAAGCAATGGCCTCCAACCAATTTGCGATGGCCTCCATCCTAGAAGCGATGGCCACCAACCTAAGAGCAATGGCCTCCAACCTAATAGCAATGGCCACTGTCCTAGAAGCGACGGCGATGTTCTTTCCTCGTGGAAATGCCCTGAAATTTGTGGAAATACGCTCATCGTCAAATGTTTACTTTCTGGCACATCATGGATCGAAAAGAAGTGAGAAAACACACAATGGGACTTGTGAAGATGTTGTGCAAAAGTTAGCTTGGGGAAGTTTGGCGATGGCTGGGAGAAATGGATAGTTTCTCAGCGAAGCCAGTGCGTCTTTCATATTATTTTATCAGCTTTTTGAAGGATTTGTCATGCACAACTCCTCAACACACTTGACAAATCCTGAAGAACTAGGGTTCAAAAAGCTCCCGACCAGTCGACCAATCGATCTATCGATGTGTCGCTGCGTCTCGTCGCCGACACGACGACGGACCTGAGATGACCCGGATGCGACGAAAACAGGATATATAAGCTAGGATGTCACATATATATATATATATGTGTGTGTTATATATATATATACATACATACAGTAGCTGGACCATCCAAGGGGTGTCTAATTGAGATCCATAAGTTGTGTGTTATAGTCCAAGTTGATGGAAATTTACCCGGAACGGTGGATTTCCGCGGCACCGCAGAACTTCTGCCACTCATCATGTCTTTAAAATGAGAAGACATTTTGTCTTGTGCACCCTGGCTGCTTTAGAATTGCCATGGAAAGAAAGATAGGCGCCAGGCTCATAGAACCAATCTCGAACTCTTTCTTTCCCCATTCGAACTGGTGGGACAAAACTAGCTGCCAGAAGCACGGCACTGCAAACCCCCGAAAAGTGACTTTGGGAGGGATTTCCACGACAGGATTTGTCAAGTGTGTAAACCCCCAGTTCTTCAGTGGTGTACCATGTTGTACCTATGTATCTCTCCCTCAGAACTGGCTTTGATCAAATCCCAAACACCGACCGGGCGAAACCACCGACCTTTTGCATCGGTTTCTCAGCCCGGCGCACAGCCCGCAGGGCGCGGAACGGAAGACGAAGCATCTGGGTGGCCCTGCCATTGTGGTCCTTCAAAATGTGTTTGGAGCGAACCATACTCTGCCAATACCTGTGGCGCTATCTGCGGTGGGTGGTGGGAGTTGGCCCGACCTGAGACTCGAAGGTGACCCGTTTACAAATGGAAATCACCTGGTCCTGTTGGCTCAGTTTTCCAAGAGGCACGATTGCTGGTGCTGGTTCCTGGTGTAAAGGCATCCGAAGCACTAATTTAGGCGTGCAAGTCGAAGAATTATTTTAAATTACTTTAAGGTCAACCTAGCACCGAATGCCATAGTAGTGGCGAGCAGCTGCTAGAGCCCGAGCTGGAGGGGTTCATTCTGATCCATAAATCACGACTCACAAAAGGTCTTGGCAGGCTGCTTCAAGCATTGGGCCGGAGCGAAGGCTTAGGCTTTCAGCACTCAACCCAAGCAAACCTGGAGGAGCTTGTAGAAAGTCGACAGCTTGATTATGCTTGACTTGCATCGGCATGAACATTGGAGCAATGTGAGTGAAACAAGAAGAATCCATTTCGCAAGCAAATCAAGCTGCATCAAGCTGGACTTGCTCCAACCAAGCACAAGGTCTTCATAAAGAGCCATCCACGGCCTCAAGTGGTGCAAAAAAAGGCATCACAAAGGCTCGTAGGCCTATCATTCGATTCACTTGTCTGGCCGAGTAATTCGGTAGGGGGCATAATGCTCTTCCATGTTCGGCCAAACAATTTGAGCGAATGAGGTTTGGGAGGTATGTTCAATGGAGAGCTAGAATTCCTTGGACTTAAGTCATCATGCTTCCATGAAGGCGCCAAAGTTGGCGGATTTGAAATGAGATTTGAAGAACTATGCCAGTTGCTTGGCCGGCGAGTTGGCTGCAAATATTGACCTGCATTGGTTTCAACCCAACATGCTCCTCGTCAGATCACATAGCATGATTTTCCTTACCATGTGCCCCACTGCCCTCAAGGAGCATACGGAGCCTCAAGGAATATCTTTGATGCGGATCAACATTCTTCTGCTCCCTCGCCCAGCAGGTTCAACCAGATTCATACCATTAGGAGCGAAAGAGGTGCATGGTCACCATGGGATGGAATTCCACGCGTCTTTCGTCCAGGTCTTCCTTGCATGGCGGATGGATGGCTTCAGGGTCGTCAGGTGTGATAGCCCAGGTACGGCATGGCACCTGAACCAACTTGCGCTAGCTCAGAGAAAGCCTTGAAGTGCATGGACACAAAAACAAAACAAAAACACCATATATAAATGATAAATAAGTGAATTAATATATTAACACGTTTTAAAGTCAATTCTTGCTTGGCTGTTGGAGCTCGGCTAAAAGATCCTGAGGTGCTCACAGGCAGGTGGCTATGATGGCTTCTCTTCACATCCGGACCTGGATCAGCAAGGCATCTGACACGAATGTCCTGGCAAAGTTCAACGGTCTCACCGCGTTTTTGAGATGTCTTGATGAATCCTACTACGCCTACTGCAGTGCCCCAGAATGGATCCGAAATTATTTGACCCGTGGACCATCTTCCTCTAAGACTCTGTGTTTGGGGGATGCATGACTGGATGCAGGAGTCATCCGCCGGAGGATATCTGCTTCACCTTTCTAAGCTTTTGGTCATCGAATCACCATCACATCTGGGACCTAATCCCGTCCTTCATCCCTGGCACATCTTTGAGCCCTTTGCTCGAAGGTCGCATCGTCACCGAGCATCGCTCAGGCTCAAAATCCTCCAAGCAATCAGTCAGATGAAAAAACTCTCAAATGAAAAGAATCAGAACAACATCTCAGCTTCTCACATCTTTAATGTCCATTGTCCATCTTCTATTTCTTTACAGCTCTCTCTCTCTCTCTACTTGCAAGAGTTCCCATGTGTGGTTCTTCCTCCAAATCTTCAAGCTCTGGCAGATCTGCGCCGGGTGTGGTACTAGTATCGCTGATCCCACGACCAAAGCCAGTGTCTTTCTGCAACAGCTGGTCCTGCACAACACAACCAACGACACCTCGAAAGGAAACACAGGAACTACTCTAAGGAGCAAAAATCACTGGACCTTGCCAATCTTGAAAAAAATGAAAAACATCCATTTGCTCAACCTTAAAGAAGGAGCCTCGAAATCATCGCGAGCGAGCTCTGTGTTGTAGGACATGGCTTCGCACCGATTTCAGCGAGAAAACAGCAACAGTCCAGGCTTCGAACAACTCACCCCCAAGTTTGAGAAAAAGGCTGTGGAGAAAGGATCAAGGCTCATTGCGGAAGCCAGTGTTTCCAAACTCTATGAAGCAGGAATCAGAAGTCTCTATGTAGTAGGATGAACAAAGAATACGAGGCATTGCGCGCCCAAGTCTTCTCGAACTCTCTTCAGGGTGGCTCAGTTTTATATGTTTTCTCACAAGAGGCAATGGCTGGTTCGGGTTTCTGGTGCCGAAATACATGTACAGTAAAAGCATGGAGGCATTTCTAAGCACTAACTTAGGTGTGCGAGTCGACTAGTGACTAATGTTTTTGATGTTACATAGCAACACTGATGATCACAAACGCCATTTTGAAAATACTGGCGAGCAGCTCTGGCCAGATCCTGAGCTTTGGAAGTATTTGACCCAACACCCTGATCCAACCTCTCAGCTTGGAGTTATGATCCATCCCTTTTCCGCAGATTCATTCATATGATTCATCTGACCTTGTCCTTTTGGCACACTGAAGATTCATCTGGGCTTCAGCAAATCCATCTTGACCTCTTTGAGGATCGGCTCGCCACAAGTCTCACATCGAGACCGGTTTGGTTCTGTGTTGTTCGGAACGCTTCGGATGCGTCCTCTTCTTTACGTCGGCTCCTTTTTTCGGGCTCCGAACTGGGCCAAAGATTCAATGAATCAGGTCCAATGATCTCCAACTCCTTCCCGTGGTGGGTGTTCGGTCACCGCACCTGTAAGGGGCGCGTTGACGCATATGTTCAGCTTTCGTGGCTTTGACGTCACTCATACTTGCGAACATAATGGATGCTACGTCATAGATGCGGTGGGGTGCGGTGGGGTGGGGTTCTCCTGACGTCACTTGTACTTGCAAACATACTTGTACTTCGCTTCGATTCGCTTGGGAACGTAAAAAGGAGTCCTTCTGAAACTTTAGGTCACAAACGTGGGAATTAACACTTGCAAGAAACGACACGGTCCAAAAACTTAAAAAACCGCACGACCCCTTAGGGGCGCAGTTGCCTTTTTTGGCTGAAGACCACCAGCTCGGCAGAGCGGAGACATCGGGAAGAACCTGATGCTGCCCCTACTCCTGCCTGGGCAAGAATCCAGAACTCACATCTAGAACTCGCAAGAAATCCGCTCGTTGCCATCCATAGGTCTGAGAAACTTCCTGCCCAGCTCCCCATCTGCATCCCGATGTTGTTCCAAAACCCTTCTTCTTCGCCCCTTCTTCTTTGCCCTACCCAAAGCTAACGCAGATACGACTCAATCCTCTCCTGTGGCAAAAGATGTCCTTTTCACTTTTGACTCAACGCTTCGTCAACCTTCCACCTGGCCCCATTGTGAGCGCTTCGAAAAATCACGAGCTTCTTCCGCCGTTATCCGCCGTCGCTTATCCGCGCACGTGAGCGTGAGGCCATGGATGGGATTCATGGCTAAGGCCCAGGCCTCAGGGATGCTCGAGTTTTGAGGATCTTGAGAGGCTCATGTGTCCCCGCGCTAGTATGTGGCATGGTCGGGGTGAATGCCCAAAAAATATGTTATTACCATGAATGCCCCCCTTTTTTTGCGTTAGGAGCTTGTTGCTTTCTATGTTTGTTTCATCCCCAATTATCCAATACATTGGAGAGGTTCATACGAGTAGGGATGCAACACTCAAATTGAGCAGCAATTATACGGAGATGAGATGTGGGGAGCTTAGCATTCGGTGGGATGCGACGCTCTGCCCGAATCAGGACCTAATTCGGACAGTGACATGTTCTTCAGATATACTTTATCTTCGAATTGTATCGAATTGTGTTTATACTTCTGCCACATGTTCCCCAAGAGGTGGTTTAGAATGACCCCCATATAAAGGACATCTTTGGGTTTGTGCCATCTACCCTGAAACCACTGTATATAATATATATATATGATTATGAAACCGTGCTAATCATATCAGTGGCAATAGTTCAAACGCAGGCATTATACAAGTCGCGTTTGGAAGATGACAAAAGAGTTGTCAACATTAGATCACCATCCCAGCTATATAGATCGAATTGGGAAAGGGAAGACCCCTGTGTTGAGCCAACGTGTCTCTCAAAGGTCCAAATTCTGCTCTCGAGGTCTTCTACAGCTCCCTTTGCTTGCTTGGAAAAAGACTAGCACTGAGTCCCCGCGCGGTCCACCACATGACCCGCCGCAGCCAGAGGGAGAGCCAAACATCTTGGACTAACGCCTGGCCGCCAAAGTCGCGAACGCGCAGGTGCCGCGGAGAAGGGGAGGTAAAAACCGGGCCGCAAATTCAGGTCCTTTCGAAGGTGGTTCTCCACCGACCATCGGTGGTTCTCCACTAACCATGGGCCTTCGAATCGGACGTAGCCCGATTCACCACCGAGGTCACACACCCAACGTGGCGAGAGTGGAATACACACCCTCTCAAGCGTTGTCTGGATCAAGCTAATCAAGCAAATCAAGTGCTTGCAGAAGAGTGGCAAGAAGGTCAACAACAAGATCGAACATTCGGAGGTGCAAGTGAACGCCATGTCTGGTTGTTGAACCACCCAGAGTTTCAGGCTTGTTGAAAAAGATCAACGAGCAAAGTATCGGAGGTGATTGATGATGTTTTCAGGATTTTGTCGTTAGCTGTCGTTAGTTGTATCCCATTACCAGTAACAGTGTTTGATGAGAGTTAACAAAGGCTACTTTTGTCATTTTCAAACATATAGTGATAATAACTCTCCGACTGTTGCTGGGACATACTGGGACGCACCCAGTGCAGGTCGGATTTTTGAGCACTGCAACAGCTAAAGCAACGAATCCCACAGTGCAGGCACAGTGCAGGTTCCTACCTTCACATAGTTTCTGAATCCCATAGTTTCTGAATACAACGAAACGGTTTCTAAAGACTCCAACAAGGTTGAAGAACCCTATAGACTATCCCATAGGTACCCCAGTAGGTCCTATATGATCGCTTAACCTCTCTTGGTCGTTTCTCTTCCACTTAACTTACAGCCTGCCGAGCTCGAGCCTTGAAGACCTCGCACGCGCTTTTGGGAGAGCCTCCATCAAAATTAACTTCATGCGGCTTGAGGCGTGGTGAGGTTACACAAAGAATCAGATCTATATATTACAAACATATAAACCTGTATAACATCCGTGTATATATATACACATGTTGGCCTATGGTTTCTGGATGCTCCTGGAGATTGAAACCTTAGTCGATGTCCAGGACAAAAAGAGATAGCAATTATATGTGATACCTAGTGTAGCTGCGGCTCCGGTACTATCGGGCTGCTGAAGTCTGAGATATGCGGCTAAGGTACATCGAGCTGCAGTCGGGCTCCGTGGCAGCAGGTGTTCTTCCTTGACCGGCCCACGTCTCCAGGAGAAGGATTTCCACGATATACGGGTTTTAAATATGCACTGCCGTCTAGGTGAATGAGTTCGGGACCTGCAATGGGGCCAAAGTTAATGATTATAATAATTAAGCAAACATGTTGCTGAGTCTGAGAAACATACGAGCATAGCATACACCTGGGTTTGCTACTCGCATGGACTGGATCAAAGGCTTCCCCGGAATCAGCTGTATGTAATTATATGTATACATATATACTGTCCATGTCAAAACATGCCACATCGTGCTTCAAAAGCACAGAAGACGTTCATTCTATAAGTCTATCGTACGTTCGTTCTTGCAGGGATGGTGTGCTGTGATGCGTCACGTGCCTGCTGTCTCCTCTTCAAACAAAAAAACACCGCAAACAGCGATGCTGGAGACAGCGCAAGGTGGTCTGACATGCAAGGATCCTAGACCACCTTGGATCAGAGATGGCCAATCACTGATTCTGGCGACGTGAAGTTTCTGACTATCACGGATGATGCCTTCAATGACTGTTTTGTGTTGTCAACGTAGGACGTGACAGGCCCAAAGACCCCCCACATTGCAGAAACTCTTCTGGTTGGTGGTTTCAACGCATTTGACAAATAGTACTGTAGTCATTGGGCTCAATCATCCCCAAGTATATAAAAGGTTGAAAAAGAGATCAGCCTTAGGCCCTTTGGGAGTACCATTGAACTTCCTCGGTCCGTTGACTACTCTGGGCTTTCGGCCAAAGTATTGGAGATCGCCTCAAGACACAAAATTGGGTTTTGGAACTGAGCTAGGCTATGCCGTCCAACAGGCAAAGATTTGCCGTGCTTGTTCAGAAGCAGCTTCAAATGGGAACCCCCAAGAACAGGTCAATGTCACTGGTCTGCTTTCACCATCTCTCGGAACCAGACCCACTTCGATCCATCCCAAGCCCCACTTGTTCATCCATTTCGGGCCAGAAGACCCCGGACTCCACCCGGAATTCTGAAATGGACTCTTTCAGCGTTGTTTCAGAGCTTTTTGAAGCTTGGGTGGCACTGGGATGTTCAGACAAACAGGCTGCAGGACCCCCCGGCCAAATATCGAAAAGCACCGTGCGAAGAACCCAAAGACCAGCGCACTGATTGACAAATCGATGAGCCTCCCACCACCGCGAAGCGATGACCAAAAGACCCAGAAACGATCAGAAACGGCTCTTTTGGGGTCAAGCCACTTTGCCGACTTGCGAGACTTGATTCGCTCAAGCCACTGCCACCCATCCCGGCGGTGGAAGGTGTGCGTGTGTGTTCGGTTCATATTTTTCCCGAATGCGAGGCGAAGGGTTTTCGTTTAACTCTGGGGGTCTTGGGGTCTGGGGGTAGCGTAGAGCCTTGTTCGCGACTCGTTGTCGTAGCCTTCGCAACCGTTGTCAACTGTCCGCAAGCGTCTGCGGTAGGGCGCTATGGCGCTGACATTGGGCGAAGCTTTTGGAGAGTGTTTTAGATGGAAGCATGACGTGTCAGATTCGTGTGAAATGACACCTGAGTACGTGAGTGTCGTACGCGAGTGTCCCACAAGAGTGTCCCGCAAGAGTGTTGCACAAGAGTAATTACGAGTGTCCCACAAGAGTGTCCTGCAAAGTGACGAAAGTGTCGCACGAGAGTGTCCCACAGCGTTCTCTAAGAGTGTCTCCTATACAAGTGTCAAAAAATGTTTGGGCGATTGTTTTCGAGTACGTGTTGCATTCGGGTTTGTGGGCATTTTGTATGTTCTTTTAGGCGTCGGAATCCTTGTCGATCCTTTTCGGAGATCTCCGAAAAAGAAGCCTGAAGTAGCCAAACAGATCCAAACATCCTTTGTCAGACACTCACAGTCTCACACCACCTCCAAGTTGCAAGATCCCCCCAACGCCAAGCGCAGGATTGCGCCATGTTCGGTCAACATACACCGAATTTCGGCCATGGAGAGTGACATGCTGATCAACTAGACGGTCCAACTTCCATGTTCTTTCTGATACACAGTCCAAACATCCCGAGACACGGGTAATATCCCCAAACAAAACGTTTAACCAATGTTGGGAAGTGCCTACAACTTGATGCTTCCTTCCCATCTAGGCAACCCCGCAGAAGCGGTTGGCGTGGCGACAGAGGCCCTGGAGATTGGCTAGCATCACGTGGACAGAACCAAAGGCAGTGTCAATTGTGGTGTTTGGAGCCAAACAACCAAGGATAAGGCGGATCAGGCCCGAATCATGTGGCATGGTCACATTCAAGGTCCACTTTGAGAAGAAGACTGACCACCAGCGGCTGGTGCGACCTACCAGCATATCACATCCATGTTTGTTCTATGACCCTTAGGCATGAGGTGGCAAATGCATTCGGGCTGCAACACCTAACCTCTTCTGTAGACTTCTACCTCCGGCTCCCAGGGCTCGGAGTCGGCGTGGCGTCTCCGTGCGGGTTCCCCGCGCCGTGGCACCGGGAGACAGGCTGCACACATCAGCGAAAGGACCTGACCGCAGGTCGGGGCCGTCAGCGAAGACCACGGAGGTCATGGCCACCCTGGGTTTTCATGACTGAACGCACCACGATCCCACTGTTACATCAAGTTTCCATTGAAATTCACTGCCCCCCCCAAATGGCAAATATATATATCTTCACGAAACAAAATGGCTGTGGGTCAAAACCCGAAGCCCTAAATCCTGGTAGGCTGACCTCCATGCAGGTAGTCCATTTTGTTCACACGCAGACAATCCAGTCGAGTAGGAAAGTCGCATCCACGACTCACAGATCAGTGAATGCCCAAAGACTCAATTAAAAGGAGAGCTACAGAAAGCGTTCCACAGGGAACGACCACGAATCAGCCGAGCGGCCGGCCCCACCAGCCAGCACCCGGCAAAATTTGAAAAGTTCGCCAGGGGCGAAAAAAGGAAGGGCGCCAACAAGTGCACCCTGAGGCAACACTTTGCCAATACATTTAGTTGCCCTGGCAGTTGGGGTCCCAGGAAAGGCATTGCGCGTTTTTGAAAGCACAACGCAACATCGGCGAAGCTTAAGAACAAGTTCTTGAAAATGTTCTTCGCGGCATCCAAAATGGTGCCCTCTTGCGACAAAAAGAAACGCCAATTCTTGATATGTGCACATCACCTGGTCATCTAGCAGCCACTTAAGCGACTTTCCAAAGCTGACAAACACCTGCCAATCAGAGGCAGAGAGATCAAGTTTGGAGGGACAAATTGGATCCTCAGGCGTCCATGAGAAGGAAAAGTCAGTCTCACTGTAGTGCCAAGCAAAGCCAGGGTAAGTCGTACGAAAGTCAATCTCAGAGACAGCACATTGTCGCATTGGCATGTCTGTAAATGTATCGGAACATTCAAAGCCAATATAGCGATTCAAGTCCGTGAGAATTCGTTGCTTTTGTAAAATTGCCGCATGGAGCATACCTTTATCCGCTGCTGCGACAGTACAGCGAGAATGGGCAAACCTTTTGGCAACTGTGTCTGCAAGCCGATTGAGTTCGATATGCTTCCTGGTAGTACCTGCCGCTTGGATCACAGAGGCAGGTATTGCAGAAACCGGAAGATCATCACCAACATGCGAAGGGATCCACGTCAAAAGCAGTGCTGGCCCACAAGTCAACTGATTCCTGGTGTCAACGACCTTGTGCAGCACTTTCCACCATTCAATGTGCAAGCAATTCGCAGGAATATTGCCTGTTTGGGCCAAATGATTGACCTGGTTAACAACTTCCTTGCAGTCACTATAAATATGTAGCTTGCTATCAGCCATCAATGTAGCGACGATAACTGCCCATAACTCCGCAGTGTAGGAAGAAAGGCACAGATGGGAAACGGTTCCGGCTGCAAAAATGCTTCCTTCCTCATCAATGACAGCAAAACCAGCTGCTGTGAGTGGGAAAACCTCACCCCAAAGCACGGAGCCATCAGACCACAAAGACTGAGTGTAATCAGGTCGAAGGAGGGCCTGAACAGCAAGTGCATCGGCCCGGTCAACATGGAGACGATGGCGAAGAATGGCCAATGGGTGTTCAACGATGCCCAGTTGGTGAAAATTCGGTCCAAGCTCGTGGCCAGGTCCAGCAGGAAACTGCAACCTTGCTTGAGGACACTGCAAGATGTGCACAAGTGATTCTTTAACAGTTTCACAAAAACGGCACAATGGAGAATCCGCAAATTTGGCTGCAAATCTACGATCATTTGTGATGGTACACCCAACAAGCTGAGCTTCAAAGTGAGCAAGCAACGGGGGTGAAAGCGAGTCACGAACTCCCTTCTGGGTCCCATAGAGCTTGGAGTGGAACAGGTCAACAAAACCAGTTGGTTTAAAAAAGTCCTTACGATTCAAGTTGGCCGAATGGACGTAATGCATCTGGACAGCAAGTTGTTTCAATAACGGTGCAAGGTCCCGAACCGACAGGTCTCCAAAACCGAGATTTATGTGACCAAAAAGATTCAACTGGAACTGATCCATCAATGGTAATACCAAAGGCCTGACAAGCCTGACGAAGGCCTACAAGGAGGGAAAATCTACTTTGTTTAGGCTGAAGTGCCAGCCGTCGGCATCTAGCAAGTGTATCAGGGTTATGATGCACAAAGCGCAAGAAGTCAACGATGGCACAAAAGGCCCTGGCCAGATAGGGGTCAACACGATGCGGCGGAGCAAGGAAGCCAAGAACCAAATGCTTAGCCCGCCAGTGCGGTCGATTGCCCCACAAGACTTGAGTGATTTCTGCCTGGATCTTATCAAGGGCAACTTTAGGAACCTTAGTCAAATGGGAGGCAAAGCTGCATTGAGGAATCACTTTAGCACCCAGGAGTTGTGCCTTGATCTTACGAGGCAAGGGAAGGGCCCCAATGTTGCGAATGTCGAGAATGATCTTATGGGTCTTATCTTCAGGGAAATCAAAAGCGATGCGCTGAGAAGTGTAAATCTTGGAACCAAGCACATCAATAGTTTCCTGAAGCATAAAATCAGGAAAAGACAAACGAACACATTGCCGTCCAGTCGAATTCGAGGCCCAAGCCACAGATTTACCAGCATTAAGCTTCTGACCGACAAGGACATCCCAGAGTCTAGTGACTTCAATGGCAATTTGGAGGTTGGCAACATGCTGGATTTTTGCCCATAAATAAATGTCATCGATGTAAATGCGACAGGAAAGGTGAGGGATGTCTTTCACGAAAGCAACCCACGAGAACATGTAGGCATTGATAGCAATCAATGAGAAAGAACAACCCTGGGCAACACCATTTGGGGAAGTGGTGGGAGTGGGGGCAGTCCAACCTCGATAAGATAAGTGTTTACGCAACCCTGCATATTGACGAACAAAAATGCTGACCACATGCTGTGGACATCCAATGGCAAGCAAAATAATGGCGACAAAGGCAGGAATAATGCGATCAAAACACTTACTTTTATCGAGTTTGAGACCAGCAACAGTGTCACCTCGCATCTCAGCTTCATCAAGGTCGAGTCTCAGGGTGGCAGGAATATCCGTCATATGCCGACCAGCAATACCTCCAACGATAGAGGGTGGCATAATTGACGACTGCCATTCCTTAGCTTGGCGAAAGCGCGCACCCGTGTAGGCGAGCAATAGGGGCGGCAAGATGGTAATCAGCCTCTTGTTAATGGGGGAGGAGGGCCCCGGCTTATTGAGGATAACTAACTTGGCCTCTGTCAGCGCTTTCGGAAGCGAATGGTCAACCCTCTGTTCAAGCCGGCGAAAAAAGGCTGCAATCAGTTCACACAGATCAAGAGGGAATCTTTGCAATTCAGTGGTTCGCCAACCATCAAGCCCAGGCGCAGCATTTGGGTGGCGCCGTTGAAGAGTCTCAAAGATATCGAGCCCAGCGAGAGCTGGCGGAGTCCATGGCTTATTTTCACGCGACAAGTAGGGCCAAAGGACCCGCAAGACTTCAATAGGATCGTCGTGACCTACATTAGCAGCAAAAATATCGTCCCATTGGTCATTGATGGCAGCAATGGCTTTATCAGGTTGATAGATTATATGCCCACAAGCATCAGTCACGAGATTGTTGGGCTGATCCTGTGCTTTATTCTTGAGGTGATGAAAGAGGTAGGCACGATCGGAAGAGGCTGAGTGCTGAATCTTTTCCTTCCACGCACGTATTCTGGCTGACTTCAAACTGCTCTCTGTTTGTGCGATCTCAACTTGAAGCCAAAGGTGGCATTCATGCAAAATCAACAGGTTCGGGCAGCGACAGTCTCGAAAGTCGAAGGGGGCTTTAAGATTGTGCAAAAGCCTGGTGAGCTTGGTCAGGGCATTATGCAGTATATCACACTCTTGGTCCGAGAGTCTACTCTTAGCAACCTTAGCTTGAATGTCAAAAACTTTGGCACGGGCATTGTAAAGCCAGGAAAGACGAAGGGTCGTGGCCGACCCAGAATTCTGTTGCCCAGGACAATATTGCTTGGATCTGAAGACTGGAGCGACAGCACGTTTATGTAAACCAGGCTTCCATGAGGCACCAGCCTCCAGGAGTGTAGCGACTGCAAACTGGTTAATATCACCCCATAAAGCATCAGGGGAAGAACTGGCAAAGTTAACATCGAGGTTCATGTCCCACCGATCTGAGTTCGGCTGATAGTCCTTGGGGCAGGAGGGTTTATCCACTTGGGAGATGTCAAGTGGGGCAAACTTAACATGTATAGGTCCAACATGGAAAATGTTGTCCCAGTGAAAATCGCACGAACCGGACGATGTTGCTTGGAGAACCAGTCAACCGTAGAAATTTCTTTCAGACAAGAAAAAGCAACTTGGATCAACAGGATCCCGTCAATGGAGGAGCAATGTTCACCAAAGGCCGTGAAAGTGCAATCGCGGCTGTAAGTGATCGGCCGATCGAGGGATCCATCTTCAAGGTGGGTTGAAAGAGGATCAAACCAATTGGCAAAATGGGTCGCAGCCGCGACAGAAGGGTATTGCATTGGTGGGAGCTGGAAATCCCCTACCAGCAAAACCGGAATATTGCCGAATTGAGCGGCGACCTGAAAAACATCGGCAAGAAGGCGATCATTAAAGTGCAGGATTTCATGATCGGCGGAGGCACCCGACTTAGCATAAATATTAAAGATCAAGATCCTTAACGTGGGCTATATCTGGTGCCAGACAGCTTGGACCCGCTTAGAGTGAAAGAGGCCTCTGAACAGCCCTGTGGTGTCCTGACTCTCCTCAAATGGAGAGGTGGTAGTACTAGGGGCGAGGAGGGCGACACCACCATGTGAGGTAGAACCACTCCCGTCCGACCTGAACAAACCCGGAAGCAGGTCACCAAGGATCAAGTTCTTACCTGCGGCCAACGCCGATTTGGTGGCATTACGGAAATTGTTGCGGCCAATACGGGTTTCCTGGAGGCAGACCACACAATCATGCCAGCCTTTCCAGGTGTTATCTTTAAAGAAGCTCCCAACGTTCGAGGAAAGGATGGACCACGGATGGTCAGGGCCTTCTCCGGGAAAACCCAAGGT